CGTGGAGCCGCACAAGCCGCGGCTTCTCCGGGACGAACGCCCGGATTAGATATGCGCCCCTCGGCGCGATAAATAAGACGGCTGACATCTTCGTCGAGCTCGCTGACGAAATTTATCTCACGCTCACGCCGCGCCGGCGGAAACGACGGATCGTTCCGTCTCGAAGCGAAAGCGCGTGTCTCCGTCGGAGGCTTCCGATAAAAACAAATGTCTCTGATTAGACAATGCTCACTTAAAAGAAAAAAAAATAATATTCTATTTGTAAAGTGACTCATTTTTTCCCATAGTCTCATATTCTGAGCGAGGCCTTTTACAGAAAAAGGATTCCCCTTTCGACAAAGCGATTCAAGTGAACCGCTCGTCTGAAATTTATTAGATATTATTCTGCTTTCTTCTTATTTCAAGAGGAGATTACCTCTTGTATCGATTTTCCTCTTATGAGAAGGATATTGTATCCTCAATATTCCTCATATTGTACGAAGAGGAATATGTTGATTTGAACGCCGGCTTCTTTTGTCCAGTCATGTCTTATCTCCAGACATGAACGAGAAAATAATCGTATGCTCAGGATATTTGGTACGTTTTTCAAAAACGTGTGTTGCTGTAACATATAACGAAGATAATTTACCCATATTTGGTCAAACACAGTTTATAATCTACTGCGACAAGTTGAATAATATATTTCTTTCTTTTAATTATGTTTCATACGATCGCTTATGATGAACATCTTTGTAGCTTTGTAGCTATCCATAACAAAGGCTTTTCGCTATACATTATAATAATTCTTTCAAATTAACTAGCATAATCAGTAAAAATAAATCAGTAAGAATAAATAATAATCCTCTTAAAAAGAGATTAAATAATCTGTGTGTAGGAGGAAATTTATAATAAAATCAATAAGATTTGCATTATACATATAATCCCTTTAATTTTAAGAATAATGTGTTTATAATATTTCCCTCTTAATCTTAGAGGAATCCTCTTGAGGCCACATATAAGAATAAAATCCTCTAAAATTTCGATGATTCCGCTTGTTTTGAAATTACTTTTTTTTTTTTTGGATGATCTTCTCGTTGGCTTACTTGAATTCTTCGTCAAGCCAAACGATATTGACGAAACGAGCATATCGACGGGTCGCAAATCAATTCTCTGCTGAAAAGAATCGGCTTGTACGAAAATCGAGCGGCAAAGGGTCGATTGAAAGAAATGGATCTTTGAAGGCAAATGATTGATCTTCTGAGGATCGAGTCGACGTCGCTCGACATAGGAAAGATATGTCGCAGCTGATACATGAAATTAAGATTATTAATTTTTAAAGAAAGAGAGAGAGAGAGAGAGCGCTTCTCCTTTAAAACTCCTTTAGTGTCTTTAATCTCGTTTAATCTCTTTCAACTGAATTCGACGTATTTCGGAAAACAAGTCCGCGTAATATATATGGAATTTTCGAGCACCAAAAATACGCCTCATATATCTCGAGGCTTCCTCTTACTCCAGAAGTGGAAGCTTCAAATTCGGCTCAAAGAGACTAGATGCATTTTCCTGGAACCGCAGGATACCTCGTATAAGACAGAAGAGTGGACTTTCTAAAACTACGCCTCATCGACACGAATTTCAGCGAGAGTACCTCGAATGATCTCAAATCAGTGCTCTTGGGTACATGTTTTTTCATCGACAAGGAAGTGCCGAGAAAGTTTCGATCTCTTTGCGCAGCATTAAAATGCGTGAAAAGACGTCGCTGTCTCTACTGGTTTCTAAATTAAAAGACAGAGCGACTGCATTGCGGTGGATTAGAGGTGGATGTAGTTCCAACAAAATTCAGCCATCGGTTTTCATGAAATTTCGTGAAATCGCTCCAAATATTGCTAAAATGACATATAATATCTAGGAAAGACCTTTTGGCGCAACTGAAAATTAACTTTGATATTGCTTGATTAATGAATTTATTAATTTCCAAATCTAACCTAACCTGACCTGACCTAATCAAAGCAGGTTTCGTTTTTATTATTTACATCTTGCTTTATATCTTACGGGAGAGCTTCATCCTTCTACCCACCGGGGGCCCCCCTTCCTCTCCTGGACCTTCGTCAGCCGTTGGCGAGGTTGCTGAAGGACCCGCATGAAGCCGCAGTGCATGTATGTGTCGCGCTGCATATCGTCGGCGCGACAGGTTTCCCAACCTGACTAATGCTCCAATTTATTTACAAATTATTTACAAATATCTCGCTCCGCGATGGAAAAGGACGATTTTTGCGCATAGAAAAATTATTTGCCTTTTTGAAAAACGCGTCGGCCGAGCTTAGTTTCATCGAAATCAGAAGTGAAGAGGGCTAAACTCTACAATTATTATTGTAAAAACCATTATTGCAGCAGTATCGTAATTAATTAATTTTCAATCGTGCTTCAATCAAATACCTTCTAGATATGTCATTCTGGGATTTGTATTTGAAACAATTTCACCAAATTTCATGAGAATCGGAGGTTGGATCCTTCCGGAAGTGTA